AAAAAGAAAGAAAGAAATGGCATATCCTATGAAAGACACATCTTGAAAATGCCTAAAGAAAGTTGTCATTTTTTCGTGGTAAAGGAACTGGAGTCCGTGTTGATGAAAACACCTTGGCAGCTGCATATATATATTCAACGTTTTGCAATATGTCCCCTTGTGTATTAGGAGTTAATATATATATTCAACATTTTGTTAAATGTCCCCTTGTTGTGTATTAGGAGTTAATTTGGTTTTGACAAATTAGGTGCATTTTCTTTTAGCAATATTCTAGCAAACTGGTCCTTAAATTGAGTCTGAAAGCCATTTCATTTGAGAGGAAAATTGCACAATCTTGGAGATCAGAGAAACTTCATAAGAATTGATCAGTGTTATCTTGGTCTGTGGCTCAGTGGTTAGAGCTTGGGTCCTGCACACTGAAGGATTGTGGGTTCAATTCTCCTCCAATGGCACATATAGCTCCCCTCCCCTAGTCAGGGTGCATGTGAGGCAACCAGTCAAAATGGCTCTCTCACATTGATGTTTCTCTCCCTCCCTCCTTTCAGCTTTCTCTGAAAAAACAATGGGGAAAAAAATACCCTTAGATGAGGATTAATAAAAAAGAAATAATTGATCAGTGTTGAAATGGGGAAAGAATGGGGAATGGAGGATTAATTATCAATGCTCTTTAATAAAAGTGGCTTTTATTTAATAAAATTAAATATTTTTTAAAATGTAATAAAATAAAAATTTAGACTGACTAAAAATGCTAATGGTCACCATGTATTAATATAAATATTGACAATATTGACAGTAGCTAATATTTATTGAACTCAACATATTCCAGACATATAGAATTTATAAGCATTTTATTAATCATTTAGATTTTTCTTGTCTGGGAAACTCTTTATCTGTCCTTTGATTCTAAATGATAGCTTTGCTGGGTAGAATAATCTTAGTTGTAGGTCCTTGCTTTTCACCACTTTGAATATCTCATGCCAATCTCTCTGTCCTTCAAAGTCCTCTTGAAAAATCAGCTGACAGACCTCTGGGAGTTTCCTTGCAGGTAACTAACTGCTTTTCTCTTGCTGCTTTAAGATTCTCTCTTTGTCAATAACCTTTACTATTAAAATTATGATTTGTCTTGGTGTGTATCTCCTTGGGTTCATCTTCTTTGAGATTCTCTGAACTTTCTGAACTTATGTGTCTGTTTCTTTCACCAGGTTAGGGAAGTTTTCCATCATTATTTTTTCAAATAGATTTTCAATTTCTTGCATTCTCTCTTTTCTTTCTGGCACCCATATGATATGAATGTTGTTTTGCTTAAAGTAGTCTCAGAAACTCCTTATGCTATCCTCATTATTTTGGATGTTTTTTCTTTTTGTTGTCCTGATTGGGGGTTTTCTACTTCCTTATTTTTCAAATTGTTTATTTGATCTTCTGCTTCTTCTACCCTACTGTTGATTCCCTGTAATGTATTCTTCATATCAGTTAGTGTATTCTTCATTTCTAAGTAGTTCTTTTTTATGTTTTCTATTTCCATTTTTATGTTTCATATATCTTTGTTAAAGTTCTCACTAAGTTCCTCTACTCTTTCCCTAAGTTCATGGAGCATCCTTTTGACCAATGTTGTTTTTTGATGTTGCTGCTGTTGTTGTTTTGTTTGCTTATTTGTTTGTTTGTTTGGTGGTTTTATTTTTTTATTATTTTTTTCCAATTACAGTTTACATGCAATATTATTTTATATTATTTTAGATGTACATTATAGTGGTTAGACAATCATATATTTTACAAAGTGTTCCCCTGATATTTCCAATACCCAACTGGCATCCTACATAGTTAATACAATATTATTGGCTATGTAAAGTATATTGTTATACTTTACATATCCTTTACTATTTTGTAACTACTAATTTGTACTTCTCAATCCCTTTACTTTTTTCATTCAACCTCCCAATTCCCCTCACCTCTGGCAATAATCAGTCTGTTCTCTGTATCTAAGAGTCTGGTTTTTTTGTTTTGTTGTTGTTCATTATAACTAGTTATTTGAACTCTGCATCTGGTAGATTGTTTTTTGTTATGTTCTTTCATTTAGAACATGTTTCTTTGCCTCCTAATTTTGGCTGACTCTCTGTGTTTGTTTATATTGTATTAAGTAGAGCTACGTCTCCTGATGTTGGTAGAGAGGCTATATGTAGTAGGTATCCTTTAAGGCTCAGTGGCACAGCCTCCCCAGTCACCCAAGCTAAGTGCTTCAGGTGCACCACTGGTGTGGGTTGTCTGCACCCTTCTATTGTTAGTTGAGTGCCAGAAGCCAATTTCAGCATGTCTAATTGCAAAAGTTTCATAGAAAAGTTGATGGAACTTGGGGGCTCAACAAGGGCTGAGTCACATTGCCTGCTAAAATGGCTAAAGGCATTTTCCCAAATCTGAAAGGGGTGCATAAATTGATTGCTTGCTGCCATACATCTCAGGGCATCTTAATCTACATGTTATTGTCTCCTGTTGGCCAAATACCTGAACAGCCGGAGGCAATTCTCCAATCTGACAATGGATTCTGTATAAAATGCTACCCTTTCAAGTGTATATCTCCCCTTGCATTTAGGACAATTTGTGTTAATAAAAAGCAAGGGGTCCTGAGACAAGGAGAACTTGGTTTCTTTAGCTAGGCTCCTCTCCCCTGGCCCATATGCCTTTTAAATTTATGTTTCCTCTCTGGATTTTTATTGATTTAGGCACAGCCACTTCTCCGGGTTTCCTTAATCATTCTAGATGTTGGATTAAGACCACTGATGTTAAATGGTGCCCAACGAGGGTGTTAGTTGAGCCTTGGTTGCTATTGGTATATCAATGGGAGGGATTTATCCCCAGGTCAATCAGCTGCAAGGACTGACCATAACAAATGTGGAGGATCTGCTGTGCAGGTACTAACCCATGGAGCAGGACTCATTCAGTGGGGTTTAGATATGTGAAAAATTCACTCCTTTAGTGTGTCACTTATGGAGGTGGTTAGGTGGTGGTTCAGTGTGGTCTGAAGCTGTCCATTGGGTGCATTGGCTCTGAGGCCTTCTGTGAGTTGCAGGCCAACATCAGTTTCCATCTGTGCCTTGCCCAGGGCCATCAAGCTTGAACTACAAAACAATCTGCAGATGGCTACTATTCATGCTGGGCTTGGAGGTGCCTGGTAGAGGTCATACTGTGAACCAAGGCCAGCTGCAGATAGTGCTGAGCCTAGGGCCACTTAGCAAGAGGTACAGGGTATGCAGAGGCCAGATCCTACTTGTTTGAAAAATTTTAGGAAAGTAAGCAGTGTGAGCTAAGACAGGCTATATATATGGAAAAGCCACTGGAAAGGGCTTGGGTGGGCCTGAAAGTTAGATTGGGTAGGGTCTCAGAGAATCACCAGGGCTGAGCGAATAGTGTTAGGTTAATAGAGACTCTATATGGTGCTCTGCTGGCTCTGTGAGGGAGGGCTTAGCATGTTAATTGGCTTTTAAAGCCAAAACTTATGGGGACTTCTTATCCTGGCACTAGAACCCAGGACTGGGGCATTTGATATGAGGCTGAGTCCCCTGACTCTTCAGGGCAGACCTCCAGAGGTAAGATATCCATCCTGATTTTTAACAGCCACAGATCATCCTGTTCCTGTCTCTGCACCTCTTAATGTTCATGATGGTTGAAACAGCACCAGGTATTAAAGTGGTGTGTCAGACTGTTCCTTGGCTCAGCATCCTGGGTACTTGAGTTCTGGCTAGGAAAGCATTCAGAGCCAAGATGCAAATTATAAGAGAACGTTTATTTAGAAAGTCACAGAGGTAGGAGAAATAAGTGGTTAAAAAAATGGTCAGGGAATAAGTTAGAGGCAAAAGAAGGGCCCTTGGAGCTTAGGAGAAAACAAGAGGCAAAGAAACTATGCCTGGCAGAAAGAAAAGGGAGAGGGGAAGGGGAAAGGCATGAATGCGCCCTCAGAAGTAAGGGGATTGGGTCTTCCCTCCTAAGAGCCTTTAAGGGCCAGGATTTTAGGAAAGGTCTCGGGGGAGGATTCTAATAGAATATTTATCAGCTTCTTAGATATGGCCTCTCAGGGTCATGGTCTGCACTGATTGGTCATCACCAGAGCATGGGGTTATTTAGTTAATGCAGCTGGCCTTGAAGTCAGCCATGGTGTCGTTTTTTCTGGTTTTGCTGCTTTTCTGGCCTGGGATGAAACACAACTGAGGCCTAGATGTATTTGATGGGGGTCAGAATCTCCTTGTCCTGGGACTTAATGCTTAAGGGTTGTTCTACAGTGTTCCTGTTCCTTCTCTAAGTGAGTCTAACCTGCATGACTAGCTATAGGCTGGGGGTGAAAAAGTTACCTTGGGGTGAGATTCTTGTTTTCTCAGTTTTGCCTGTTGCTAATGACCCAGGACTTTTCCACCCTGGTGGTCTTCTGTACCTGGCCTGTCACCCTGGCTCTGCTCCTGTCTGTCTAACTGCCTACCATACTACCCAGCTCAATGTGGCTTCTTCTTTATATCCTTAGTTATTAGGCTTTTGTTCAACTAGATTTCAGGTGGTTCTAAATAATGATTATTTGCATTTTAGTTGTAATTTTGATGTGGTTATGGGAGGATCTGAGTATTGCGTTTATCTATGCCACCAGCTTGATGGAAAATCTATAACTTCAGATTTTTTAAAACTTCAAAAGTAATCCTTGGAAATAATGAAAAAAGTGAATAGGTATTTATTATAGAACTGCACTATTCTTTACAGTAGTCCTTAGCCACATGTGAATATTTATGTTTAAATTTTAATTAATTAAAATTAAATTAAATAAAAATTCATTTTGTCAAGAGACATATACAATACTTTCAACAATGAATATGTTTTTAAAAGTTCAGTTTTACACCCACCCAATGAAAACCATAGTTGACATTTTTAAAAAAGTCCTTGACAAAGAATTTTTTATTGATTTTAGAGAGAAAGGAGGGGAGAGAAAGAGAGAGAAAGATCAATATAAAAGAGAAACATTGGGAGCCATGGCGGCCTCTGAGGCGGCGGTGGTGAGACCCGCGGCTCCGGCCTCCGGCGTCCGGGCTGACCGGGCGGCCACGAGGGGGGCCGCTGCCTCCGCCGCCTCGGGCTTGTGGAGACCCCCCGGGTGGCTGAGGGGCAGCCGGCCTGGGCCCGTGGTGGCGAAGCAGCTGTCCGCAGGTCCAGCGCCTCTGGTCAGTGAGCGAGCTGTCCCGGGCCACGCAGACCAACATCCTGTGCACCGTGCGCGGGTGTGGCAAGATCCTGCCCAACAGCCCCGCGCTCAACATGCACCTGGTCAAGAGCCACCGCCTGCAGGATGGCATAGTAAATCCAACAATAAGAAAAGATTTGAAAACTTTACCAAAATTCTACTGTTGTCCAATTGAAGGATGCCCTAGAGGTCCTCACAGGCCATTTTCTCAATTTTATCTCGTAAAACAGCACTTTATGAAAATGCACGCTGAAAAGAAGCATAAATGTAGTAAGTGCAGCAATTCATATGGCACTAAATGAGACTTGAAGAGACATGGAGAGGATTGTGGCAAGACCTTCCAGTGCACATGTGGCTGTCCGTATGCAAATAGAACTGCATTACAGTACCACATCTACCGAACTGGCCATGAGATCCCTGTGGAGCACAGGGACCCACCTGTTAAGAAAAGAAAAATGGAAAACTGCCTGCGAAACCTGAAGTTGTCCAATAAGACCGTTGAATCCTTGAGCAACCAACCAACCCCGAGACCAGACACTCAACAATTAGAGACTTCAGAAATAAAGCTGGCTTCATCTTTTGAAGACTCTTGTGGCTCTAATGCCAGAAATCAGACTCTTACAACAGCTCCAAAATATCTTCAGAAATTGCTTTTACCAAAGCCCAAGGTGGCTTTGGTTTAACTACCTGTTATGCAGTTTTCTCCTATGCCTGTCTTTGTGCCTACAGCTGACTCCTCAGCCCAGCCTGTAGTGTTAGGTGTTGATCATCTGGGCTCTGCCTCCAGTGCTGTGCACTTACTACCCTTGTCAATAGGAACTCTGATTCTTGGCCTTGATTCAGAAGCCTGCTCTTTTAAGGAGAGCCTTCCTCTTTCAAAAATTATAAATCCTGTTGCTGTTGAGCCAATTAGTACAGGTGTTCAAGTGAACTTGAGTAAAAATTTATCTAGTCCTACACAAGAACGAGGGAACGCATGTCAAAAGAACAGCATTTCTTCAATCAATGTACAGACAGATCTGTCTTACACCACACAACACTTTATACCTTCTGCATGGTGGGTGAGCCCTGATTCCTCTGTATCATCTTGTTCTCAAACTGATTTGAAATAAAAAATCAGCAAAGAAATATCAATCCTAAATGACTCACTAGACCAGATGGAATTAATCAACATCTTCAGAACATTCCACCTCAAAGTCACAGAATATACATTCTTCTCAAGCGCACATGGGACATTCTCAAAGATAGACCACATTTCGGGACATAGACAAAGTCTCTTCAAATTCAAGAAGATAGAAATCATATCAAGCATCTTCTCAGATCATAGTGGCATAAAACTGGAAATTAACTATAGTGAAAATAATCCAAAGAAATCAAACACATGGAGACTAAACAGCATGCTATTAAACAAGGACTGGGTTACCAGAGAAATCAAGGAAGAAATTAAAAACATCCTGGAAACAAATGACAATGAAAACACAACTATCCAAAATCTATGGGACACAGCAAAAGCAGTTTTAAGAGGGAAGTTCATATCTTACAGGCCTATTGCAAAAAACTAGAAAAAAATGGTAACAAATGATCTAACTCTACAACTCAAAGAGTTAGAAAAAGAGCAACAAGAAAAGCCCAGTGTAAGCAGAAGGAAGGAAATAACAAAAATCAGAACAGAGATAAACGACATAGAGACCAAAGAAACAATCAATAAAACCAAGAGCTGATTCTTTGAAAGAATAAACAAGATCGATGAACCTCTTGCCAAGCTAACCAAGAAACAAAGAGAGAGGACCCAAATAAAAAAAAAATCAGAAATGAAAGAGGTGAAATAACAACAGACCCTGCCGAAATACAAAGGATTGTTACAAAATACTACGAACAACTCTATTACAACAAACTGAACAGCCTGGAGGAAATGGACATATTCCTAGAAAAATACAACCTTCCAAAACTCAATCAGGAAGAATCTAAAAATCTCAATAGAGCAGTGACTTGGGAAGAAATTGAAACAGTCATCAAAAAGCTTCCAGCAAACAAAAGCCCAGGGCCAGATGGCTTCACAGGAGAGTTTTACCAAACATTTAAGGAAGAACTAAAACCTATCCTCCTCAGACTATTCCAAAAAATCCAAGAGGAAGGAACACTTCCAAACTCCTTCTATGAAGCCAGCATCACCCTAATACCAAAACCAGATAAAGACAACTCAATGAAAGAGAATTACAGGCCAATATCCCTCATGAACATAGATGCCAAAATCCTCAACAAAATTCTAGCAAATCAGCTCCAGCAGAGCATCACAAAGATCATACACCATGACCAAGTAGAATTTATTCCAGGAATGCAAGGTTGGTACAATATCCGCAAATCAATAAATGTGATACATCACATAAATAAATTGAAAGATAAAAATCATATAGTCATATCAATTGATGCAGAAAAAGCATTTGATAAAATCCAACACCCTTTCCTGATAAAAACTCTCAACAAGGTGGGAGTACAAGGATCATACCTCAACATAATAAAAGCTATATATGATAAACCCACAGCCAACATCATACTCAATGGGCAAAAACTAAAACCATTCCCTCTAAGAACAGGAACAAGACAGGGATGCCCACTCTCACCACTCCTGTTTGACATAGTACTGGAAGTACTAGCCATTGCAATTAGACAAGAGGAGAAAATAAAAGGCATCCAAATTGGAAAAGAAGAAGTAAAGTTATCCTTATTTGCAGATGACATGATATTGTATATAAAAAACCCAAAAGACTCCATTAAAAAACTAATTGACTTAATAAAAGAATTTGGCAATGTAGCAGGATACAAAATTAACACCAAGAAATCTATGGCATTTCTATACACCAACAGCGAACTTATAGAAACACAAACTAAAAAAGCAATTCCATTTACCATCACACCAAAAAAATTAAGATACCTAGGAATAAACATAACTAAGGAAGTAAAGGACCTATATGCGGAAAACTACACGACACTGAAAAAAGAGATAGAGGAAGATGTAAACAGATGGAAGAACATACCATGTTCATGGATTGGTAGAATCAACATCATCAAAATGTCCATACTTCCTAAAGCAATCTATAGGTTCAATGCACTCCCCATTAAAATACCAACGGCGTATTTCACTGACCTAGAAAGAACTCTCCAAAGTTCATTTGGAACAATAAAAGACCCCGAATAGCCACAGCAATCCTGAGAAAGAAGAGTAAAGTAGGAGGGATCTCAATACCACATTTCAAGCTGTATTACAAAGCCACTGTTCTCAAAACAGCCTGGTATTGGCACAAGAACAGACATATAGATCAATAGAATAGAATCGAGAATCCAGATATCAACCCAAATCACTATGCTCAATTAATATTTGACAAAGGAGGCACGAATATACAATGGAATCAAGACATTCTCTTCAATAAATGGTGTTGGGAAAATTAGACAGATACATGCAAAAGAATGAAACTAGATCACCAACTTACACCATACACAAAAATAAACTCAAAATGGCTACAGGACTTAAATATAAGACGGGAAACCATAAAAATACTAGAAGCATCTACAGGCAACAAAATCTCAGACATATGCCAAAAGAACTTCTTCACTGATACTGCCCCTAGGGCAATGGAAGCTAAAGACAAAATAAACAAATGGGACTACTTCAAAATAAAAAGCCTTTTTACAGCAAAAGAAACCATCAACAAAACAACAACTGTGTGGGAGAACATATTTGCTAATGTTACCACTGATAAAGGTTTAATCTCCAACATCTACAAACAGCTTATACAACTAAATAAAAGATGAATGATCCAATTAAAAAATGGGCAATGGACCTAAATAGAACATTTTCAAAAGAAGACAGAAGGCCAAAAGATACATGAAAACATGCTCAAGGTCACTAATTATCCGAGAGATGCAAATCAAAACAACAGCGTGGTACCATCTCACACCTGTCAGAATGGCCAACATCAACAAATCAACAAATGACAAGTGTTGGCGAAGTTGTGGAGAAAAAGGAACCCTCGTGCACTGCTGGTGGGAATGCAGACTGGTGCAACCACTGTGGAGAACAGTGTGGAGTTTCCTCAAAAAACTGAAAATGGAACTCCCATTTGATCCAGTAATCCCACTCCTAGGAGTATTTCCCAAGAAACTAGAAACACCAATCAGAAAGGATATATGCACCGCTATGTTCATAGCAGCACAATCTACAATAACTAGAATCTGGAAACAGTTTAGGTGCCCGTCAGCAGATGATTGGATCCAAAAACTATGTTACATCTACACAATGGAATACTGTGCTGCCATAAAAAAGAAGGAATTCTCATCATTTGCAGCAACCTGGATGGAATTGGAGAACATCATGCTGAATGAAATAAGCCAATCAATGAAAGAGAAACACCACATGACCTCACTCGTTTATGGATAATAAAGAACATTATAAACTGATGAATCAAAAGATAGATATAGAGACAGTAAAGCAACAAGCAGACTGTAAAATTACAGCGAGGAGGGTAGGGAGATCTGGGGGAGATAAGAGATCAACCGAAGGACTTGTATACATGCATATAAGTACAACCAATGGACACAAAACTCTGGGGAGGGAGGGTATGTATGGGAGGGGGGGGCAATGTTAAAATATGTACACAGATAATAATTTAATTTAAAAAATGCAAAAAAATAAAATAAAATAAAACATCCACCAGAAAGCTTAATTGTATTTCTGGGGCATATTATGGACCTCTTATTGCCTATATGTAAATTCTTTTTTTAAAGTATGAGAGCTACTTTTTTTAAAGTAGCATTTTATATGTTTGTTTGTTTTTTTGACATCAAGATGATAAGTGCAATTTTGTTCAATAAAAGGAATTGGTTTGAGGAAGTTGAGAATTAATTAAACTCACTGAGCTTTGTTATTAAGAAAAAATGCTATTCCTAAAACTATAATAGATTGTACATAACATATTCTAGCATTTTGGAAATGGCATTAGACTTTTCTCATACTTTATTACAAATTATGACAGATGATTGGAAAGAAAATCTAACTTGCAAAAACTGTATTGATTTTGACAATAGTTCAGAAATCATAGCTGGCATCAGTATTGTGGATTATTCAACTAAGTATGTACATTAATATTTATAATTAAATGTTTTAACTAATTCTCAAGT